GACGGTTCCGGATCTATAGATGTCAGTGAACTCGAGGAGGTCAGTGCGGACGTTTCTGCTGGAGGGTCGAATCAAAACGATGACACAGCTTCACTCAGTAGTCGTTCGATCTTCTATTTGAGCCTGTTTCGGTTGGATGCCCGTATCGGTAAGGCGCCAGTTTAGGTTATGGTGGCCCTCGGACTGGCGGAAAGGTCCTCAGATGTGGAGAAAATGGTTGCTAATGTTGACGAAGATGGTTCTGGGGAAATCGAATTTCACGAGTTCCTCAGCATAGTAATAGTCACTCTTTTGAGTGCCTTCACGTCATTGCTGACTATTAGTTACGTAGAGGCCACCAGTCGAGTGATCCGAGTTCAGCTGCAATGTTTAAGGTCTGAATTTTATGATCTTTCAGCTTGATAGGTTTTCTTCTTAGGTGTTCAAATCTTTGATTCGTGGCGACCTCGGCGACACCGAAAACATTGCCTTCAAGCTCCTCACGTCTGCGTATCGACGGCAGAGAATTATGGATGCAATGATGGGGAAGAAGGAGTCGGCTCAGCAGGTGAATGAATTTCTAGGAATAGATCAGCTTCGCATAACTCTTTAGTTAAACGACATACGTCTTATAACTCGGCTTGCTCTGATGAACGGCCGCAAGTTTGCCGCAGCTCACTCGATTTCTCGAGAATCGTTTTTGTGATGCCCCTGTTAGAGTCGTTGAGGAGAAGTGTTGCATCAAAAATTACGCCCAGACTGCGTTGGGGGCGTATCATATTATCTCCAACGCGGCTAGGTTAGAAAATGCATATTCGCTAATCCAGGTCCAAGGGATGCGCATCCTAAGAGCCTTTGAAAGACAACTGAATGAGTCTAGACATTCAAGTCAATCCATAAATTCCCAAAAAGTGAGTCTCTACTGACCCTTGATAGCCAACTGTACTTGTCGCAGAGTGAACAGGAGTGTACTGTCAAAAACTCTCCCCGACAACAGTTGATGCCCTCACTTTCTGTGCAGCATTAATTGCAACGTGTCAGCGCCTCTACGTTGCACCCTTACGATTAGCGGGGTCGACTCGTCCTCACCGACGTGATCTGGTGCAAGTTCTCATAAACTATGAGCTTAAGATGTCTTGAACATATGGTCCTAAACTCTTCAAGCCAGAAATGGACATATGTCTAGTGTTTATATCTGCCCGTCGTGTGTTTTGAAACGTATTCACTTTTATTATATTAATCTCGTTGTGTTAAGGACTTGAAGTTAGTCGAATTAGAATATCTGTGGAAGTTTAAGTGTAGTCCTTCGATCCTGGTAATGCCAGCATATTCACCAATAACAACCC